CCCCACTCACACTTGCCTCCCCTCCCCACCAGGCCCACTCCCCTGCCCCTCCCTCTCCTGTAAGCTGGCCACAGGCACGGTCCAACCAACAAGAACCACCCCAGAGTCAAGGAGACATCTCAGCGGGAGGAAGAGGCTGGGGTGAGCCCGCCATTCAGGCTGTGCCTCTGAGGAGAGCCTGGCACTCACACCCCCTTGGCCAAGCAGTCCCCCTGGAGATCACACCTCCCGCTCTGAGCAGGAGTGCGGGGTTGGCTCCACCTGCAAGCCACAGGTCAGGTGCGCCACGCTGGGTCCAGGCCTTCCTGGGCCAGGACGTTGGCTCAGTGGGTGCCACCACATCCAACCACACCCAATTCAGAAGTAGCTACAAGAACAAGCCCTTCCCTTACGGCAGTGCGGCTCTGAGTCCCAGCCAGCCGGGGCTAGTGGGTTGAATCTGCATGTTTTTAAAAGTGCCTGTTCCGTGTCCACTTCCGTGGCTGAGCCAGAAGGAAGGCCTCTGTGCTGTTGGCCACCTGTTCCCTCTGAAGGAGTTTGATATTGGCTTTGGAAGTTGTGTAGATGCAGAGTTTTCTTTCCAATGCTGTGAAGTCTTGACTGGAGAATTCTGCCATGCTGATGACTAAAAGAGGACCGAATACACTGGCCCTTTGGGATGGCAGTCTTTCAACTTCCGTTCTTGAATTTCAGTGCTAGACACAAGACGTGTGTCCTGGGCTCCAAGGTCTGATTACTCATTCACCGATTCAAAAAATGTCGCTGAGCCCCAGCTGAAATCCATGTAGTGGGTGGATGACATTGGGAGGGCTTCACCCTGGTGGAGATCACATCTACTTTGTCAGAGAGGACACATGTATGGCCACAGAGCTTCAGAAGCCGGGAACCCTGACCGAGGAGCAAGGTGCCTTCCAGTGCAGGACGGAGGAGCCGGCTTGGTCTCAGAGAGGACGCCGTCCTGAGCAGACAATGCTTGCTTGGGGGTGGGAAGGAGGAGCTGTCCCTGCAGAAGGATAGCCAGTGCCTGTGGCAGAAGGGACCGGAGGAGCTGGACGCAGAGAAAAGGACTGGGGGGTCGGGGGTCAGTGGGGAGAACTGGGGCAGATCCCGAGCTTGCTCTTGGATCAAGCTGCAGGTAGCAGCATGGAGCCCCATGGCAAGGGCTGCCAGATGGACAGTCAACCGGAGGTGGGGGCTTGAACCTGGGAAGCAGGAGGGTCTCTAGGGACGAGGAGAGGGGAGAAGAGCCAGGCAGGTGGGGCCCAAGGAACCTGTGGAAAACCAGGAGTGTGTGGTGGGCGGAACCGGGAGGAGAGGTGCCGCAAGGGCGGACGTGGTCGTGGTGCACAGTACCAGATGGGCGAGTGTCACGGCCACAGGACAGGCCTGCGGGTGCCAGACGGCCACATGGGCTGAGGAGGGAAGGACAGGCCTGGAGGCAGAGCATTCTTCCCGGAGCGTGACTGGCCAGGGAGCCCACCTGCGAGGTGGCCCAGGGCTCACCCACAACCTCTGGCCTTGGGAGGCCAACGGGGACGTTGAAAGAGAAGGCCCCCACCCGGATTTTGCAGCCGACTGGGATGAGATGTCAGCAGTTAGGCCAAACGTCCTGTGCCCGGCTCCCCCAGGGGGGCGGTTGTGCCGCTACCTCCAGAATCTCCCACCCGCCCGGCCTTTCCACAGGCGTCTCCGGGCACCCAGGGCGCAGGTGTTTCTAGGCCGCACCGGGCCTGGGAGCAGGCCGCCCGCCAGCCCCGCGGGAGCCCGCGGGGGCGAGGCCTGCCAGGAAGCCCAGGACAGTGCTGAGGCCTTACCCTCGCCTCCTTCCTCTTGGTCTTCTGAGGTAGACACGGCCTCTGAAGGAAGACGATCTGCTTGGTGGACACGCTCCCTTCCCTGCAACACACGGGGGACAGTGAGTCTGTGCCCTGAGGGACCCGAGGAGCCGCCGCCGTAGCTGCCCTGTCACAGCTGACCCCCACAACCCTGGGAGAGTTGTCAGGCCGATGTGCCACGCCCCCCCAGGCCACCCACCCAGCTCCAGGGTGCCATCTCCAATGCCCGAGAGCTCTCCCTGTCCCCGCAGAGGCAGCTTCCCCGGGAAACACCCGTGCCCTGACATGAAGCTGACAATAGTCATCCTAGCAAATGGGTGCTGTGGGGACTCAAGGGGTCTCTGACACTGGCTGGGATGCGCGGGACCCAGGGAGGAGCTCAGCCTTCAGCTGCTCAGGCTAGGGCAGAGGATGCCGCTGCAGGCGTCTGGGCACGCGGGGGCGCCCGCAGGTGCTCCAAGGCCCACGTGGCGCCAGGCAGGCACAAGGCGACGTCGACTGGTGAGCGGGACAGGCGGGGCGGCTCGTGTGTCCTCCCAGGAGGGTGGGACCCGCTGCTTTTCGAGATGCCAGAAACACTGAGGAGATGCCTACCTGCTCCCTGCTGCCGCCCTGTTGGTGATGACTTTATCCTAACTGACACAGTAATTGTCGATATTATGGATGCAGTGTGATGCCCTGCTGTATGTCCACAATGTCAAATGGCTAAACAAGGCTGATTAGCAATCCATGACTTCACATACATTTTTTTGTGGTGGGAGGTTTTCAAAGCCGCTCTCTGGCGACTGTGAAATAGACAAGGCATTATGACTGACAGCAGCCGCCATGCTGTGCAGTGGGCCACCTGCCAGGGACACCCCTGCCTCAGTGAACTCTGCACCCGGGATCGACGCCTCTCCCTTCCCCAAGCTCCTCCCCCAGACCCTTCTCCTCCACTTGGTGAGTTCAGCATTTTTCAGTTCCACGTGAGATCATGTGCATTTGGCCTTCTGGGCCTGACTTCTTTCACTTGACCTAGTGCCCTCCGGGTCCATCCTTGTCGCTAGTGACCAGACTTATCCTCCCTTTTTTTGAAGGCTGAAGAGTATCCCGTGTGTTCCTGTCCCACATCCTTCTTGCGGTGCCACCGGGCTGCCTCTGTGTCATGTCTGCTGTGAACAGTGCTACGGCGGACACGTGTCAGGTGTCACTTGGACACGCTGACCTTCAGTTCTGTGGATGTAAACGCAGTGGTGGGACTGCTGGGTCATGGTCTCATTCTGTTTCTAGTTTTCCAATACATTTTCACGTGTCTTCCATAACGTCCGGACTGCCTGACGCTCCCACCAGTGTGGGTGAGGGATCCCTTCCTCTGCGCCCCTGCCAGCACGTGCTGCCTTGGGCCGTTGGATCACAGCCGTCTGACCGGCGTGAGGTGACACGTCACCGAGGTCTTACTTTGCACATGACTTGGTGTGCTCCTGTGTTCAGCCGATATCTCAGAGGGAAGGGGAGGGAACTAACACTTGCCAGGCAGCTCTTTTGTGGCAGGGGCTGGGGTGGGTGATTGCACACATAACGGCTCATCCAAGCCTCTCCACAGTGCCCCGAGCACTCTGACTGCCAGCTTTGGCAGAGGAAACAGAAGCTCAGGCAGGAGCAGGCTGCGGGTCACACGGCCAGGTTCCACACAGACCTGCCTGGGCCCATATACGCTCCCGGCCTCCGCGAGGGCTCACGGGAGGAGCAGGGATGCGGAGGACCGGGGAGGAGCACGTAGCAGGTATGAAGGCCAGAGATGGAGACCTGTCTGTGCCTGCTGGGCTCGGGCAGCTCAGAACCAGCAGGGGCTTCACATTCACACACGTTCTTGTCGTGAGTCTCGTCCCCTGTCAGGTGACCAGGAAACTGACTTGGAGAAGCCACGTGGCTTGACCAAGGCCACACAGCTAGCAGGTGGCAGACTCAGGCCTTGGGTTCAAGACTCCAGGCCCCAAGTCTAGGTAGGGTCCCTTCCTCCACTGCATGGACCTGTGCCTGTAGACGTCATGGCTGAGGCAACAGGTGGCAGATCCCATGGCTGAAGGACCCACAGGTGGCCACAGACTGGCTCCCATGGGTGCACAGACGCGCCGTGACCCGGCGTCAGAAGTGAGTCGTGCTGAGGGCCCCGAGAAGCCAGAGAAGCGCCCAGGAAGGATGGTGACAGCCACCATCGTTCTCCCCTCGCAGCCACCCCGGTTACCAGTCTTGCCTCCCCTGCCCATCACCCTCCGGTGTTGAGGGCCGGTGGGCTAGGAGGAGGGAAGGGGCACCCTGCAGGTCAGCTGAGGGGCAGCCTGGCAGGAGAGGCGCCCGCCTCCACAGACGGCTCCAGGCCGGGCTCTGCCGCTTCCTGACTGTGTCGCCTCAAGCACGGGCCTGAGCCTCCATTTCCTCGTCTGCCAAATGGGAATCGCGTCCGAGCTTTCTCCACAGGGGAGTGAGGGGGACCCACGTGCAGGGCAAACCCCAGACACAGACGGAAGGCGCTCTGGGAGCACGCCAGGGTGGCAGAGATGAGGGCGGACAGATGGCGGTGGGCGTGGAGCTGTGAGGAAAGGCACGCAAGGCCCACCGACAGGCCTTCACTGCCCTGGGTGGGGCTGCTGACCGGAGCCGTGGTCTCAGGCAGCTTCCCCAGCCCCTTGCCACACTTGCTGTTTTTTTTTTTGAGTTGGAGTCTCGCTCCCTCGCCCAGACTGGAGGGCAGCGGCCGCTCCCAGCCACGGCAGCCTCGCCTGCTGGGCTCCGGCGATCCTTCCGCCTCAGCCTTCCGAGGAGCCAGAATTACAGGCACGTGCTACCACGCCTGGCTGATTTTTTGATTTATTGTAGCGATGAGGTCTCGCTGCCCAGGCGGGTCTCGAACCCGCGGGCTCAGGCAATCCACTCACCTCAGCCTCCCAAAGGCGCGGGATGACAGGCTGAGCCACCGAGCCCAGCTTGGCCACACTTTCTTAACTCCAGCTCCTAGGATTTCTTTTTCTTTCTGAGGACTAAGCGAGGCTTTATCTTCTGAGGGCCTACTTAGCTAGCTTGGGGCCCTCAGAACGTGCTGAATTTCTCTTGCCTGTGAGGCCCTGGGCCTCCAGTGAGGAAGCTCACCCTCAACAGGAGGGCAGTGGTGACTCCCTGGCTAGGGTTCCCCATGAGGAAGAGGGATGCAGGGTGTTCTGGGTGGTGACGACGAAAGTGAATTCTGCCCTCATTCACACAGCTGCTCCAGTGACCGCGGCCTGTAATGGGACTCAGTACGTTGCACACGGAAGTGCTTGCTGGGAGCAGTGCCTGCCCAGAGTGCGTGTTAAAAGCACGATGGAGACGGCCATCGTTACCTGGTCCAGAGTGAGCGTGATAGCATCATTGCGTTGGCCATGGTTACCTGGTTGTCCTGATGACGGGCGTGGGCAGCACGCAGGTGAGCTCCCAGCCGTAGGCTGCGAGCGAGTTCAGCAGAGGCACGTAGTCCGTCCGCACCTCGGTGCCCTGCAGGAGAAGGGCTGGCGTTAGTGTCGCCACCTACAGCCAGCCCCCAGGCCCAGAGGGACCGCCCTGCCCACCTGCCCAGCCCAGCCGGACAGAGGCAGGTGCCCTGCCGCCTGGAGCCTCTGCGCCGACGCTCACCCAAGGGTGAAAGCTTGGGCAAACTGCCCGTGTAGGGTTCCTCCAGGCCGGCCCAGCCTGTGACGGCTGCAAGGACCACAGCCGCGAGGTGAATCTGGGCGACTCGTTCTCCTCTGGACAGACAGCCTCCCGGGGTTTCACTGGGGAAGCTCTGACGCCTCACGGCCAAGACACATCGGGCATGTGACAACATACTGCCCTGATGACTTCAGAATGCTACGCGGGCCCGGGGACGTCGGACCGACTGTCGTGTGCAACCCTCACGGTGGCCATATGTTCAGAGTAGCGGCTAGGCCGGGTGCCCCCGCCTGCAGGGAGTCCCCAGCGTGGCCCATGCTGTGTTACCAGGAGCAGGCCTGACACGGGGCTTTTCTGTTAAGCCCAGCTGTCCTGGAGCCCCTGCAGGAGGCCACACCCTGGCGTTCTCTAGGGCCTTCTCGCGGTGGCAGCCTTCACTGCACCCCGCTCCCCCAAACAGAGAGGGAAGCCCCCTGGCTCGTGTGGACCCGGCTCCCCTCCCCGTCTGACTTATCGAACTTGGCTTTGGAAAGTCCCACATGTGTTTCCAGATCCCCCTGCCTGTGCACCCACACAGGATTCCTTGGCCTGGCCTTTCAGAGCCGTGGTGGGGACAAGGCAACTGCCCTAGTGTCACTGCCCCACAGAGGCGCCCGTCGGCAAAGAAGCGCTGCAAGACTTCCAATGTCAGCAAGGGAGGGGGCCCAGCCATGGTCCCAGCGGGCTTCCCGGGGCACAGACGCATCGGGAGGGGCCGGCCTCAAGTGTCGAGGAGGTGGGCTGGACTCAGAGGCAGCTCTGGCGGCCAGGGCCCAGCCAGCTCCACCGATGCAGCCGTGCAGAATGGACCCGGCTCACCAGCTGCCCTGGACACTGGGCAGGGAGAGAGGTGGGGGACGGCCCCGTCACCTGGACACGGGCATTCGCAGAGCCTCGGTTCCCGACTATAGAAAGGATGCGTCTGCCTGTCAGTGTCTCCCAGCAGCAGCTGAAAACTGTTAGAAAAGCAGATTCTCAGGGCCCCACCCAGACCCGCGGGATCCCGAACTCATGGGGCCCCAGAATCTGTTTTAAAAGCCCTTCCCTGTAATGCCGAGGCAGCGAGTCTGAGCACCACCGCCTGGGGCTCTCAGGTCCCCTCTGGCAAAAGAAACGTCTAACGATCCCAGGGCCAGAACTTATCGCCTGTTACTTTAAGTCTAACTTTTCCCATCACTCTCCCGGTGAGAAGAAACAGGTGGACTCGCAGGGGACCGGCTCTGTCCGTGAGGAAGGCTGCAGCGGTGGACGGGACGGAGGGAGGGGGGCAGAACAGGAGGGGTGCTGTGTACCCCAAGGTGTCCATGAGTCAGATACCCAATTCCCAACGCGGCTGTGTCGGGAGGCCTGGTGTGAGGGCTTGAGTCAGCAGGGCTCTGTCCCCAGATGGGCTGAGGCCGTGGGCTGTGTCTTGCCTCCGCCCACGGGGCAGCCTGCAAGAAGGCTCTGGCCGGGCGCTGGCCCCTCCACCTTGGGCTGCCCAGCTCCAGAGCCACGAGCCGGCAAGCATCTGTCCCTTACAAGTGACCTAGCCTCCGGTACTCTGCTGTAGCAGTTAGACACAGACTGGCACCGGGAGGAAGAGGAGGGGAAGGCAAAGAGGAAAGGAGAGAGGCTCGCCTCCCCAAGCCCCCACCCACCCGGACACGGCCCTGCTGACCCGGTGGCCTCTGCTGCCTGGCCCTGGGCACATGCACGCTCCCTCCAGGCCAGTGTGGCCAGCCCCCCCCGGGCAGCGCCCTCACCACCTGCTGAAGGAAGGGTCGAGGGGCTGCGTGCCCCGAGAACCCCCGCCCCCATGCCGCGCCGCCAGATTACAGGGAGGGAAGAGCCACTCTGACGGCACTCCAGCGCAGCGAGGGTATGATTACTCGGGCCCATCAAGAATAACCTCCCCACTCTATCAGGCACTGTGACAAGCCCGCCACCGGCAGACGGTCTCCATGGCAACCAGGCCAAGCTGGCGCGCACAAAGCTCTGAGTGGCAGGCAGGAGTCCTGTGATGGTGGCCGCGTCCCGGCCGGGCTTTCTCCGCGGGCACCCGGAGCTGCCAGACAATGGGCGCCCCTGCCACCGCCCGGCCCGCAGCGCAGACTGACGCGAGCCAGCCACGGCTGTTTCATTTCATCCTGCCACTCTCCTAGAGAAAGGCACAGCAGGGCTCCCCCGAACACCTTTCCGCGGCGAGAGCAGGAGACGGCAGGCCGAGGGGGCAGATGTGCAGCCCACGGGAGAAGAGAAACGCCACGGACGCCCCGCCGAGTCATCCAGGCTCACCCCGCTCACGTGTCTCTGGCCAGCGCGTGGTGGGCTGACAGTGACAGACACAGGTGGGGCGAGGTGTCATGCTCTGCCGGGCCCCCCCATGCCAGCGATCTGGGCCAGTCTTGCCTTCATTAACGTTAGATGCGGTTTTCCCTAAGCATCGATCAAAGCCAGTTTGCCTATCCCTGACACCGTGAGAAGATGGCATTTCTAAAACGCGCGACACGCCCATCAGCGGAAGCCGCTTTTAAGTCCATTAGCTGAGAAAGCGGGCAGGACACAGATCCGACGGAAGGCTCCCTTTGATCTGTTTTTGGTGACACTCCGTGAGGACAGAAGAAAGCATCACAGCACTCCAAAGCCAGCCTGCTTATCACACGCAAAGACGCGGCTTCTGTGAGCGGGAGCAAACATTTTAATTAACTCTCCACGCTCCCGTGGCGGGGATGCAATCTCCGATCACACCTGGAGCATGGGGAAAGGGGAGCGCGTCCTGTGGTTTCTCTCCTCGTACAAAAGGAATTCATCTGTATTTATGGCTCTCCTTCCTCGGTCCCCATAATTCCTCCGGCGGCCGCAAATCACTTCAAGAAACAAACATCCCGCACAACCATCTCTAACCCTCTGAAAATTAGGCCAGCAGAAGCAGAGGTGACTAAGAGGTGCGCTCGTCTTCGGATCACGCTTAAGACCCTCCGCGCAGGGAAGAGCCAGGAGCCCTCACTGGCTCCGTGAGAAAGTCTGAATCCTGGACGCCCGTCTGCTCTTCCAGGGTTCCAATCACGGAAGCCACCTGGAAGAGGAGCAGCTGGAGAAACTCGTTCTGCTCTCTTGTTGTTTTTTGTTGTTTGTTTTTGAGTCGAGGCCTCACTCTGTCACTCAGGCTGGAGTGCAGTGGCACCATCACGACCGCTCCTGGCAGCCTCGACCTCCTGGGCTCAGGTGATCCTTCCGCCTCACCCTCCTGAGGAGCTGGACCTACACGTGTGCACCACAACACCTGGCTAGTTTTAAAAAAATTTTTGGGTAGAGGCAAGTTCTCACTGTGTTTCCCAGGCTGGTCTCACAACTCCTGAGCTCAAGCGATCCTCCCACCTCAGCCTCCCAAAACACTGGGACTACAGCCCAGTGGTACTCCACACCTACATGTGTCTGCAAAGGAGAGGACCCCGCTTCCCTGGTCTGAGAGGGGCTCCAAGTCAGGCCTACGACAGCCCCCGAGCCTGCAAGTAGTGGCAGGAAGTGCCCCTCTGTTCCTGACGCCTGAGGGCTGAGCCCCCACCTCTCACCAAGAGCACACATGAAGGAAGACCCTTACCCATGCCCTTCTGCACCTTTGGTGAAACTGCTACCAAGCACTCGTGCCCAGCACCTCCTGGCCGGGGACGTCTAGGCTGAGCTTACGGTAATCCGTTGGAGGTCTCTTGACTTTCTGCCGTGGGAAAGAAAGGCTTAGTGGCTTCCACATCCCTCACCTCTCTCCTTCTCAGATGGTGGTTTTGTCATTTGAGTCAGAAGTCACTGTCTGTGTCCTTGCAACTTTGTAAGTCATGCACTGTGACCCACCTTCTTTTTTGTGTCACCCTGTTTTCCCTCAGTTTTTTTCACCCGCCTGGCTGCCCGTGAAGCCATCACCGATTTGTCCCACATGTCGCAAGGCCTCTGCCCGTCGACCAACGTCCCCAGTGCCTAAGTGCATCCGTTTAATCTCCCCTCCCCAAGACGTCACCTCTGGACTCTCTGAGCCCTGCTCTGGTCTGGCCTAGCCATGTTCCGCGCCTGCCGTTCCCCGCGCTGGGTCTATGGCTGCATGTTCTCTTCCGGACTTTCTTCTCATGTTGCTGGAGCACACCCTCTCGGAGGCTCCCAGGAAATGCTCGCTAGAAGTCAGCCGAGTCCTGGCCCTGCGTTCGCAGGCACATACGGAAGGCTGGGCGGAAACCTCTTTTCCATCAGCACCCTGGAAGTCCTGCTCCATGAGCTTCCAGATGTCAGCAGGGCTCCTAGGGCAGCTGTTCTGGTTACTGAGACTTTAAGGGTAGCCTGTCATGTTGCTTAAATAGAAGTTCCAGAATTTCCCAGTATGCTGCGGTGTGGGTCTTTTTGACACCAAGGACGAGACATCTGACGGCCCTGCACCTGAGGGCTCTGGGCCTTCAGCTCTGGAAAGTGTCCTTTTGTTCCCACGATAACTTCTCTCCCCTCCATTTTCTGTCATCTTCCTTTCCGGGCCTCCTATAAGCCCAAATGTGGGATTGATGTTTTGATTTTCTGACCTTCTGAGAGATTTCCTTCACTTTACACCCCAATCCTTGTGCTGTGTTTTTAAATCTCCTGCTGCCCAACTGTAAGGCGTAAAAGCGCTTTCATATCTTTTGATTGCTTCTTTTATTGTGGCATCCTGTTCTTGTTTCATGGATACACATATATGTATCTCTCTGCTTTAAGTGGCTTCTTCCAATCCCTACGTTACCCCTTGTGTGTGTGTGACAGAGACAGGGGATTGGGAATCTCACCACACCATTAGGACTTTAAACCAA